CTGCACAATATACATTCTTCTCAGCAGCCCATGGAACCTTCTCCAAAATTGATTATATCTTAGGGCACAAAGCAAGCCTCAGCAAATATAAGAAAACAGAAATAATCCCATGCACTGTTATCTGATCACAATGCATTAAAACTAGAACTCAACAACAAAAACAACAGTAGAAAACATGCAAACAGCTGGAAGCTGAACAACACATTGCTCAAAGATCAGTGGGTCATTAATGAAATAAAAGAGGAAATTAAAAGATTCCTGGAAGTTAATGAAAATGAAAACACGATCTACTGGAACCTATGGGACACTGCAAAGGCAGTTCTAAGAGGAAAGTTTATAGCCATGAGTGCATATATTAAAAAGACTGAAAGATCTCAAATCAATGACTTACTACTACACCTCAAACTCTTAGAAAAACAAAACAAGCAAATCCCAAAACAAGCAGAAGTAAAGAAATAATTAAAATAAGGGCTGAAATCAATGAAATAGAAACAAACAAAAAAAAAAACATACGAAGAATCAATGAAACAAAAAGTTGGTTCTTTGAAAAAATAAGTAATATAGACAGACCCCTGGCAAACCTGACTAAAATGAGAGAAAAAATCCAAATCAGTAAAATCAGAAATGCAAAAGGGGAGATAACAACAAACACCACAGAAATCCAGGAAATCATCAGAGACTACTTTGAGAGCCTCTACTCTAATAAATTTGAAAATTTTGAAGAAATGGACAGATTTCTAGAAAATTACAACCACCCAAAACTGAACCAAGAGGCTATTAATCACCTGAATAGATCTATAACACAAAAAGAAATTGAAGCAGCAATTAAGAGTGTCCCAAAAAAGAAAAGTCCAGGAAAATGCTTTGTTTTCCTTATTATGCTTATATCTTTTCTTCAACAAAATTAGAGATAAGAGCAGAACAGGTTCTGCCTGGAAGTGAGGGGAGGAGGAGAGTGGGGGGGAGAGGGTAGGGGAGGAGAAGGTAGGGGAGGGGGAAGGGTTGGGGGGAGAACGTAGGGGAGGGGGACAGGGGAAGAGGGGAGAAATGACTCAAACAATGTATGCACATATGAATAAATAAATAAATAAATAAATTTTTTTTAAGTTTCTTTTCTCCCTCAACTTACCTGTTCAGGACTTGGACTATACAGTGCCATAGTGAGATAATCAGTTCTGAAACTGGCGTTTAGTGTTGTCTTAACTTGAGAAGCATGCGAATATACCTCTACCACAGCAGCAGTCACCACAGTTGCTCCTTACAAAAAGTAAAATCATTGAATAAAATGTTATGAAGGCTGCCTTTAGAAATAACTTTGAACCAGACTTAACAATTATTATTTCAATGAGTATAGGAGAATGATATTCAAGATAATTAAAAAAATTAGAAAATTCAGATGTGGAACTCCTGGCTTCAGGTTCCTTCCACAGTAACTATTAACTAAACACTCTGTTTCTGGTTCCTCTTGAAGGTTCCATTTCTACTTTTGTAAAAAGAGAGTAACAGAAACAACCACTGAACTTGTTTTGGAAATTAAGCAAAACAGTCTATGCAAAATGAATATTAAGATACCTAACAAATAGCTTAGAAGTCAAACTTCTTTAAAAAAAAATTAAGACCAAACTAGATATTTTAGATGTCATTTTAAAGACTTCTGCTAATCAGGTTTCAAAATTCTGTTTTTTTTACATTTAAATTTTCAAAGTAGTATAAACACATGTTATATATTAAAGGGGCTTATAATAAAAACATATCAACTCCCAATCTTATCCAACTCCAGACAAAAGTACCACCATGCCAGGTAATTCATTTTCCATTAAGATAAGCTTTACATAAAATGAAATATATGTATCTAATCTGTGACAATTAAATGAGATGACAAATTATACATCTATGTTACCAACATTCAATTAAATTATGGAACACTTAAATTACTTCAGGAAGTTACCTTAGTACTACACTTTCCAGCCAATCTCCCAAATCTCTACCCGTCTGATATCAAACATCACAGATTCCACATAAATGAAAAATACAAATCTTTCTTATTAGGCTTCTTTAGTCAACACAGTATTTTTGAGATTCACCCATGGTGTTGGATGTACTAGTAGCCCATTCTTTCTTATACCTAAATAGTTAAACATTTTGAAAATAAATTTATTCACTCTTTTACTGACAAATATTGGAGTGTCTACACATTTGACAATGGCAAATAAATCATTTTATGTTTATACACACTTATTTTGCAGATAGGGTGGAATTAAAACACCTAGGTCTGGAAATGCTCTGTTGTAAGCAGGTATAGGTTAATTATGAAACTCTATCAAAGTTGTTATACTATTTCATATTTTACATTTCTATCAGTGATAAGTGAGAGTTTCAGCTGCTCCACTTAATCATCGTTTTAAATTTTAGCCTGAAAACTGTGAAGTTTCCCTAATAATTATATTAGCAACTTTTCATGCTTTTACTGCTCATTTACATAGCATCCTCTCTCCAGTATCCAAATCTTTTGGTCATTACTTTGTTTTTTAAAAGTTACTACTGACTTATAGCTAGCTAATATATTTGGGACATAAGAAGCTCATCAGATACGTGTATCATGAATATGTCTCAGTATGAGGCTTGACTTTCACTATCTTGATAAAATCTTTGATGTGCAAGAATTTAAAATTGTGATAGTCTATACTTTTTCTCTTATGATTAGTGCTTTTTTATCTACCTAAGAAATCTCTGCCTATCCCACAAATGAAGATCTTTTATCCATTTCAATTTAATTTTTGTGTATGATGTAAACACAAGATTCAATTTTTCCCACATTTATACAGTTGTGACGCCATTTGTAAAGGCTAAACTTACTGACTAAACTCTGCTAAAAATGACTGTATTTGTGTAAATGTTAAGTCTTCTAGTATACTTGAGTTCTGCCAATTCTGTATGACTTGATTTTTACAGATTGATAGCAAGTTGTAAAATTAAATGGTGTAAAACCTTGCTCTTCTTTTAACAATTTTTTTTTTTTTTGCTATTTTTGGTTCTTAGCACTCCATATAAATTTTAAAAGCAAATTTTCAATTTCTATTAAAATAAAGTCTTACTGGCATTAAAGTGACTCTAGATCAATGTGATGAAGACTGGTATCTTAACAATACTGAGGGTTTTTTTAATCCACAAATACGATATACCTCTCTACACATTTAAGTCATTTAATTTCTCTCATCAGCATATGGTATTTGTCAGTGTAGAGGTCCTATATGATCTCTTCTATTGCAAAAAGCATTCAAAATTTGTATTAAATTGTTCCTAATAAAAGATTTTTATATATTAACCTTTATCTTTTTAAAATGCTAAATTCATTTATTTTGTTCCAAGAACATCTTAGGGATTTTTATATAATTAATTGATCAAGCTGTCTGAGAAAAAAGGCAATGATACTTCTTTTACATCTCCAGGACTATTAATTCTTTTCTTGGCCTTACTGCTCAATATCTGCTACCGCAATGTCGACAGGAACGGTGGTCATGGACATTCTTTTCTAGAGGGGACACTTCAACATGACACCATCAAATATGCCCCTTAGGTATTTCTTGCTTTTACCACGAATAGGTGCTGAGTTTTATCAAATGCTTTCTTCTCCATCTGTTGAGGTGTTTATATGATTTTTCCTTTTTACTCTGTTAACTTGATGAATTAAGTTGCTGTTTTAAATTAAAGGATAATTCCCACTTAGTCAAGACAAACTTTCCTTATATCCATATTCCTAATTTGACATGCTAATATGTTAAGAATTTTTGCATCTGTGTTCAAATGGGATATTGGTATAAATTCTGTTCTTCAAATGGTATTTTCTAGTCTAATATCAAAGAAATGTGTATTTTATAAATTGAGTAGAAAACCACTTCCTCCTCCCATTTTCCAAAAGAGTTTGTGTAACACTGGTATTTCTTTCTTAAATATTTTATAGAATTCAATAGTGAAATTCAATACCCGTCAAATATAGGACTAATCAAAATTTTGATTTGTTCTCATGTCAGCAACTTGTGCTTTACAATAAACTTATACATTTCACTATGCTGCAAAATTCACTGTCATTACTCATAATTTCTACTCATTATCCTGGTAGTAATCTGTAGTAATCTATTGAAAACTGATACTGGGAATTTGTGTTCTCTTTCATTATCATGACACTTTGCTGGGGCTTTGTCAATTTTATTAGTCTTCCCAATGAAACTATTTTTGACTTCGCTAATTTTCTGTGTTGTTTTTCTGTTCTCTTTTGTTGGTTTCTATTCATATTTTTATTTTATTTTACTTCCTTTGATTTACCTTGAGTTTAAGTTGCCCGTCTAGTTCTTGAGGTGGAAAATGTGATAACTTTGATTTTAAACTGTTGTTCCTTTCTAATCATTTATAGCTACAAATGTCTTTCACCACTACTTAAGTTGAATTCCACAAGTTTTGATGTTTTATGTTCCTCCACCATTCAAATTTCCCTTGTCATCTGTTTTTTTGACCCATGGGTTATTTAGAAACTGTTGGATTATTTAGAAATTGTTAAGTGTCTAAATATTTCAATCACCTTTGATATCCTTTTGTTATGTCTAATTTTATGATCCCCAAAATGGTCTATCTTTGTGAATATTCCAGTAACAATTAAAAATACTGCATTCTGCAAATGTTGATGGAAGTATTTATTAATATCAATTAGTCATTTGTTCACCATGTTTGTCTTCTATATTCTTTGCGATTTTTTTTGTCTATCTCTCTACCAATTACTAACAGTGATATGGTAAAATCTCCAACTATGATTCTGCATATTTCCTTTTTTTTTGTTTTTGGTGGTCCTGGGGCTTGAACTCAAGGCCTTCACTTTGAGCCACTCTACCAGCCCAATTTTGTGTGATAAGGGTTTTTCGAGATAGGGTCTCACAAACTATTTGCTCAGGTTGGCTCCAAACTGCGATCCTCCTGAGCTCTGCCTCCTGAGTAGTTAGGATTACAGGCATGAGCCACTGGTACCTGGCACATACTTTCCTCTTTAGTGTTGTCACTGTTTTGCTACATAATCTTTAAAGCTCTGCTATAAGGCTATATCCAAATTCAGTACTGTTTGCGAATTGATATTTTAAGGTAAATATCAAAGCTTATAAAGAGACATTTATGAGACAATCAGGAGAGACATAAATGGTAAGTGGGTATTTTATGGTTTCAAAAGTATGGTTAATTTTTATGGGTGATAATGTTAACATAACTGTATTTTTAAAGCAAAGTCTTTATTGTTTATAGACAAATAGCAACCAATGGTGTAACATCTGAGATTTGCCTAAAAATACTCTAGGGGAATGGAGGAAGAAAGGAAAGAGAAGCAGAGGTACAGCAGTAACAAAAGAGCCATGATACTAACTGCTGCAAGTGGGTGATAGGAACAGGTGGCTTCATTACTGAATTCCAATAATTTGGCATATGTGTAAAAATTTTCAGGAGAAAATGGTTTAAAAATTATATATTTAAATTTCTATTTCCTGTTCCATTAATTTTAGACATTAAGTCCATTACCTTCACTTGTCTCCTCTTTTTCTTTCCAGCTTTAATCAGTTTCACCTTTACTTGCACTGTATCAGTTAATACCATTTACTTTCTTCTTTACATAGTCTTCCTCTGCCTTTTTTTTTTTTTTTTTTTTTTTTTT